CCATTCTGATGAAGTGCTTTGACAAACTGGTTCTTGTGACGGAAAGGCAAGAGCAGTCACCCCACCCAGATTTGAACCCGGGTCTACAGGGTACCAAACATGCAACTTGACCGCAACGCCAAAGAGCACACAGTTCTCCAGCACATAAAGAATAATATCTCACCTTCCCGCTCGTCTTCAAAGACCTTGAGAAAAACAACATCTATTTTAAGATTGTTCTGATCTAGGGCTGCAGCTAACAATGATTTTAGTATTCAACGCTTCGATAGATTATTTCAACGATTCATCGATGCGTCATTTAATAAGTACTTTTGCTTGGCGACGGCGGTCCCCCCCCCCCCCCCCGGTACAAGATCAGCTGTGCACGTTTATAGGTGATAGATATAGATATTAGTCCTTTCAGAAATTCATAATGTGTCATACAGCAAACATCAGGCCAACAACTAGACAGCCGCTTTACCAACACAAACATCACCCGAGTGCTATACAAGTTAAGGCTCGTGCAGACTACACAACTTTAAGCGTCGGCCAATGGCCCTGCCGTTCACCCCACTTGCACAAGTCGTTGAAGCGTTCACAACTACGTAACACACACTACAAGAGCTGACAGCAGCTGTGTCACCCGACGCAGATTTCCAAACCACATTTTGTCAAGAAAACACACGTGAAATGTGAAACGGGAAATGAGCGATCCTGCACACGAAACAGCTGTTGTTTGTTATTATAAAGATAGCAGTTGAAACAGGGTGAAAGGATGGATTAGTACATGCAGGTAGCAGGGATTGTCTGAGCTACAGAGAGAGCTGGAGGGGAGTTAAAAGGTGCAGCTCCCCGACACCCAGTTAACTCATGACTGTGAGGTTACAACTCACGAGCCAAAAAGGAGAACAACAAACGCACGTGTGCACATTTTCAGCTGAGGACTGTGGCTTACTTTGGCTTCAACTCAACAATCAATCAGGATTTCAGTTAAATGCTAAAGTTGCTGTTACTGTTACCTTGTCTGTGGTCCGCTGGCAGAACACCGGCTGCTTTCTGATAAGGCGCCGTCGTGCTGTTGCCGAGGCGACATAAGTTTCGTTTTACGGTGGACAGACTGTGACATTACAGAGTTGTTGTTTTCTTTAGCTTGAAATAATAACATACTTTGAACACTTTCTTCTTTGTCCCTTGCTATTTTCTCTCTCTTCCTCCACTTTGCAAACAGCTCCATTATAATCACGTCGTGCTCACAGCGTAAGCGCGATGTGCCACAGTAATAAATGTCCGTGCGAAACACTGTGCTGTATAGTTACATGGATTAAACAAAACATCGATGCAAAGAATTTGTGTCGAAGCATTTTATTAATTGATTTTATCGATAAATCGTGTCAGCCCCATTCTGATCTCCCCATGAAACTGACCGGCAAGCTTGGCACTCTGGGCTTAAATACCACACTCTGCAACTGGATACTGGACTTCCTCACAAACAGACGCCAGATAGTTCGGATTGGCAGACCACTCCACTCTAGTGCTCAACACCGGCGCCTCCCAAGGCTGTGCCCGCATCGGCCGGATTCCAAACAACAATGAGACTTCATATCAGGAGGAAATCAACAGCCTTGTAAAGTGGTGTACTGACAACAAACTACTGCTCAACGTCCAAGGAGTTGATTGTTGAGCTTTCTGGGAATTGGCATCACAGACGAGCTGTCATGGTCATCTCACATCTCCACACTGGTGAAGAAAGCTCAGAATTTATTTATTTGTATTTCTTAAGGAAACCTAAGATGGTTAAATTCTATTCAGTGCCAAGTTCTTGTCAACTTTTACAGAGGAGCAATAGAAAGCATCCTGACTGAAAACATCATTGGTACCCATCTCCCGAGCATCATTGATATCGGTGAGGTGAGGTGCATGCGCAGAGCCCACAGGATACTAAAAGACAGTTCCCACCCAGCCTGACTACAGTATGTTGGTCTATTCTGTACGACATCTATTGCCAAAAACTACATAACATTACTAGCTTGGTTTACTGGTAGGTCCACAGGGCATTCAAGAGGTCAAGCTGATAGTGAATTTTAGAGCGCCCTCTACTGGCAACTTAAAAAATGTCTATTGCACTTAATAAAGACTGTAAATTTTGAATTTGAACGTAGCCCATCCCTCCCCACACACGACACAAGCCTATGAGTTTCTTTTAATGTTTTCCAGGGTTTTTGGGGAGTTTTTCCTCATCTAAACCAGTGGTTGTCAAAGTGGGGTCCAGGGACCCCCAGGGGTCCTTGAGGGGGTTCCAGGGGGTCCCCAGCAAAAAGGGTAATTGTTTATTTTCACTATAATTCCATCCAAAAGTAACACAATTACTATTTTGGTCATGGGTTTCATGCACTCTCTGTAATAAAACATCTACCAATCTAAACCAATCAAACATAGCAATCAATCTTCCCCCTCTCCGGGACCTTGTGGCCTCCCCGGACACAAACAGTTCCAGACACTCCCCTCGTACCCCCACCCCTTTACCCCATACTGTAAATATTTTGCATATCACAGCACAAACGTATTCTTTCATATTCTTTATAATTACTTTATATTTTTTATATCTTGTATTTTTTACTTTATAAGTATCCAAAGAAAATTCCTTGTTAACCTGCTTGGCAATAAAGCAATAAAATGTCTATCAGATGGAGACCCTGGGACATGAAAAAGTTTGAGAACCACTGATCTAAACCGAGGGTCTTGGGATAGAGGGTGTACGCTATTCAGATTGTAAAGACCCTTGAGGCCTTGTGATTTGTGGTATCACAAAATTTCCAGCCACTAACATAAAGAATGCTGCTACAAAGGATGTTCTGTTTCCTGCATTTTGTAATCTAAATGATTAAAAGGATGAAAAAGGCCCATGAAATGCGTCAGGTCGGAGCTGCATATTAAGTGGTGAGAGGGCTTGCTGACATGGACCAGCTGGGAGGTGGTCGACACTTTGCTTGTCCAATTACTGGCTCTCGCTCAAATTGTTTGGTGAGAAGCATTCGACCTACTTCTGGACACAAAGCACCACTGCCCTGAATACAGAGAGGCTGGGGACCACGTGTGATGACAAGTGCCATTAGAGGCTCTTGTCTTTGGCCTAGAAATTAAAATCAAGCGCCTTACCTGATGTGGGATAATTTTGGCTATGAACACTAGAGAAGCTATATGGGATGAACAGGGGACAACATAAATAGGATCTGCTCTTCTTGAAGAGCAGCTTGAGATGATTACATTCACTAATGGCAGCCTGACCTTCAGAAGGTCTTTGTGTTAAACAGCTGTATTAGGGAGCAGCAGCACTGCTAGTACTAACTAACTAGAAGTATTAATATAAGTGGTAGTGGGAGTGTTACCACAATCTGTTTCTCTTTTTTTTTGGGGGGGGGGGGGGGGGGTGTACCACAAACTGTTACAGACAATATAGGCCAAGCTGATTGTGTTGTGAAAGTAAAGCATCAAAAGGAATACAAACATCAAATTATGGGTAAACTATGAAACATTTCTCTGTTTCCTGGGATTCCCTCAAAGGCATACTCTGTAATGAGACACAACAGTGCAGAGGAAACCAGCATTTGAATTTGCAGCACTTCCACACAGTACAACATTTGCATAGATTGTGAATATTCATATTGAGGGAGTCACTATGTTAACCATGTGAGATATATCTGGTCTACAAATGCATCACTTCAAGCACACAAGCTTAATGCACAACTATTCCATCCACATCACAATCAATTACCAAAGCTAGGTACCAACCAAAACACCAGGCTTCTCATTTAAATGTCACTATAATGTGATTTTAATCACACTCATTGAAGCCTCATCAGTCACTTTAATCTTGTGCCGTTCATGCTTGACTCTCGTGCAAGAGAATATCCTTAAGTGTGGACAAGGATTAAAAAAATAAATAATATAATTTGTCTGTGAAAGCAACAGTTTTTTTCCTTCTCAAAAATGCATTGTTGGAGCTTTGTCAGAGGTGTCAGCTGAGATGGAAAATGTATCAGATTCTCTGTTACTAATTCTCTAGAGTAAAACAGCCTTTCAGTTCTGTTTCTAGTGCCACATGACACCACTTACCTTTTCACAGTACAACAATAAATCTGCTGAAATGGCATTATATGCATTTTCTCTGCAAATCTGCACACAGTATCACTGCAGTTCAACCATCAGCTGGGCACAGCTGTCTGTTCATGCATTTATTCCCCCCCCCCCCTACCAAACATAACTATCCCTGTGCCTGTCTCATCCCATGCAAGATGAAATGTATGAATAGAGAATGAGATAATACCATTCACCACATTGGATGACAAGGTGTGATTCACTTCTGCGGCTCAGTGTGCAGCATGAGAGCCGGTGATAAGCAGGCAAGAGAGCATTACTGTGTAATTGGCAGTGTGGTGATAAATAAGAAGGATGGCTTGTGTGATCCCCGGTCTGTGATTATTATCAGGGATCACGTGCAGTTTACAGAAAAGAAAATTGAACGACGTTTTAGAATGACTTTAATTCATACTTATCAACTCTAATAGTTGCACCATGTAGTCCATTTAAAACGGTGTGAGCCCGGGATGATAATATTTTCTGCTAAAGAGTGGGATCACGTTAATTGTCCCTCTGCAAGGTGGGTAAACCTGTTTAAGCTAGGTTAGCCCTCCACTCCTTCATTTCCCACATCACTGGTCAGGACTGAATAGTAAGTCTAGTTATTATTCCACTTGTGAAAAGATGGATATATCACAACGCCAGTCGTGACTACATTTCCCCTTTCCAAATCCTCTCTTTTCATCCCCCTTTTCTAAATTTTACTTCCCAACCACCTGCCATAACGTTACAGGTGCCGGTGTTCCAAGCCTCATATCATGAGATTCAAAGCAAACGTTAGCTACAATTTCTAATAAGTGCAACACCTGGGAGAAAATCTGAAAATATAAGGTGACTTTTTCTTTTCCTCAGGCGACAAACAGACAGAAAGTGTGGAAACTCACCTTCAGGAGCATCTCATGTCGTGGCAGCCGTTCAGAAAGTTGGATTCTCTCACCGCTGGCAGACGGCAGAGGGAGGTTTAACTGTTAACGTAACGCGCTTTGCTTCCGAGCCGAAGTACCTCCCTCCTCCTCCTCCTCCTCCTCTGGATGCTACTATCGCTGCCCCCCCCCCTCCTCCTCCTCCTCCTCTGTAAAGAAAAAGTAATAGCGCTTTCGTCCTCCTCCTCCACAAAGACAGACTCAAAGAAAAGAAGGGACCCTATCGCAGTCAATAGGTTTTACAAAAAAAAAAAACAAAAAAAAACAAAGCCATGGCAACGCAGAAAAACTGTGAGCAACTTCCCCACGTTGTGACCGGGTTAAAGCGCTCCCCAGCCCCCAAAACAGTGACAGCGACATTATTCCCAAGCTCCAGAAAGAACAGGGGGTTTTTTTATAGAGGGAGGCGGCAGAGGAGAGGGGAGCTCTGAGCCACTGCTGAGGATGCTGTTCAAATATGGATGAGAGAAAAGAACATTTTTACTGTAGGTCCAGTAAATTGTTGTCGTGACATACAAGTGTTTTATTCTCAGTAGTGAACCTGAAATAGGCCTAGAACAAGCTGGTGTTCATTATCTTCTGTGGTGTAGTACCTAATATTCTGTGCGTATTGGTAGCCTATATTTATTCAGTCAGTTAGCCTCTTTATTAGTTTTGGTTTAATTTACATTTTAATTAACTTTTATTTAGTAATTTTTATTAGGCTATTTAGATTTCATTAAAATCTAGGCTATTTATTTATTTTGTAAAATTTGACCAAAGCACCATCATTTGCACAGACTGGAAGTTCTAACTGTTTAGTTTAGAGGTGAAGATTCGACAGGATTTTTGAGGCCAGTACCAACAGTGATATTTTTTTGAATGATATATCATATCAGCTCATATTCTTCTCCGTTTTTAAACTCAAAAATGTGTTTTGCTTATTGTTACTGCAGTTAGATGTTTTAGCCCAGATCTGAGTTCAGGTGGCGTGAGTGATTTTGAGACATCATGACTAGTTCGGAGGCCAATAGGCATTTTTCACAACCCATATTTTAGCTTGTCACAGCAGGAAAAGTACAGGTGTTACTAATAACATTTAACAATTAACAATGCCATTGTTCTAAGTGCCCCAGGAAGCCATGAGAGTGTGACAGTGAGCCAGCATGCAAATTACCAGGACCCTGAAACTGAACCAGCTACATGAAATTCGGCCATCATTCATTTAATTAATTACACCTGTGATTTCCTACTGTGACATGTCAAAATGTCTACTTGAAATAAGCCAATTGTGGTCCAGTATGTAACTTGAACAAGTCTGATAATGAAACTTGAAACTTCCAGCACATATTTCACCACAGACCTTTGGGAGACATCTTGTGTCCAGTTAGTTTTGAAATAAAGAATATTCGCATATACATAGATTCTGATATTTTCACCAAGACAGAAGGATAAGATGAATTTTAAGAATCCCTCTCTGCAAAAGATATTTTGTGTAGATACAAGTCAAATACAAATTAGTGTTTTTAAATGTCTTCAAACGTGTCTGAGAGCAATCTTTAAACATTTTTTTACAGGGATCGCATGAATTTGGTCATATAAGAGTTGTTAATACGTTGTACAGAAAAGAGATATGGTACTAACACACCAACACTAACAGTCCACAACATCACAGATTGACATTTTTGAGTTCACAGTTTATTTTACTGTTGCATTAGAATATATTTTATATATTTTTTTATATTTATTAACAACAGAAACATAGAGCAACGTAGATACATTATGGCAACATTCAAAATTACAACTTTCAAAGATTCACAAGGTTTAATCGACATCATTGCGAGGTCTCTACAAAACTGAACATTTCAAGCTTCACAAATATAGTAGGCTATTGACTGCATGGCATTTGTATTGGATTGCATTACATTAACAAGTGTTCGTCTTGTTGTGTCAACCTGCTGTATATCAACACTGTTCACTCCTTTCATCATAATGCCAGCCTGAGTATTGTAGACTAATAGCCTCTGTGGGGATCTGTGATTTCAGCACCTCTGATAGTACAAGATCATTAAGAACTCTTTGCACCAGAGGAGCGGGCAGCAAAGGTCAGCTAGAAATCAATTTATCCAATAATCTCAGACCCACAGACAGAAATAGAGTGGATTTCCAACCTAGAAATGACGAAGTGGAAAGGGCCTTTATCCATTTACAGTCATGTTCAGAGGCTCACTCTCTGTCATTTTTGACTCATTAGGTCATTTTGAGTTATGATTTTCAGTGTGGACCTGAAACCTGTCCAGCCTCATATGTTTTGCTCTAATCCATGCATGGCCGTAGCCATGATTTTAGAAATAAGTCTTCTCCCCCACTGCCAGGAAAAAAACGTTTGCTAGAGAAATACTGAATTGTTTAGTTATTTGATTTGTTTGTTATATTTGCTGGCTTACAAGTAGTCACTTCAAATGTATTTAGTCCAAAAGTACTAAAGAATACTTTGAAATACTACTAATACTTTGTTACGACCCGGCTCGTGGGGAAAAGGGAAGCAACATGATCCAGAATGTTTTTGGATGGGTCACAGTGGGGGATTGAACCCAGGTCTCGCACACCAAAGGCGTAGGCTTATCCACTGCCCCGCTGCCACCCCCAAACATAACTTAAAGAGGTCTCTCCAACTGAGAGATAGCCACTTGCTACTAAAAAATCAAACTAAACAAAACTCTCTGACCTGTTCAGCAAGAAACAAAATACAAAATTAGCAGCAAGCTCTGAGCCTAGTGTGTCTAACAAACGTAAACTGCAGGTGTCTGGTTGATAATCCCCACTAAGATACTCGCCCTGCTTCCTTAACACAATTCACAAGGTAAGATGACACTAAGATCTAACACTTATCGCTTGAACAAAAGCTCCTACAGTAGTTAACGCGATTACCACAATAGAACACAATACAAAAGTGGCCAGTTGATCAAGGGCAAAATCACAACTGCCTAGTTCAACAGGTAGGTAGCTATTTAAACAGGGGATGATCTGGAAGGCGGTAGATGATTGGAGGAGGTTGCCAGACGCCGCACCAATCAGATCACCGGCCGGAACCAGGAAGTAGGCAGGTCTTGCGCCAGCCAATCATCAGCAAGGGTTCGCACATCCTGCTTAACATGTCACACAGCTGCATAACACAGATACACATACACAGATAACTGCAGTGGCCATAACATACTTAGAAATAACAACCTTGAAAAGATTTTACATAACCTTGGATTATGTCTAATGCTGACTCTCACTTAGCACAATGTTTTTTTGTTTTTTTTTGGCTGCTGATACCTGCATCTTATGCTATGGTTGAAGCTGCAGTTGGCAACAGTTGAACATAAATGCAAAACTCACAAGTGCATATGTCAGCAGAAGACATCAGTACCTCTCACTTCGATTTGTCTTCTCAAAGACGGCCCACCAACGCTTCCGTGTGGAGCTGGGACATGTTTGCACAAGTGTTTTGTAATATACACTGTTGTTGGCAAAGAGATGGGTGGTGCTTTCATTGCTGGTTGTTTTCTTGTTTTTTTTGTCAGCCTCATGTACTTTGGTCAGGATATAGTGACAGTTTCAGCAAATATGCCGAAAAGTTGTTTATAAAAAGAATTCCCTGCTACTGCTTAGTTTAGTAAAGGATTGTGGTTATTGCAAATAAACTATGGTTAATGTATGCTTAGGGTTAGGTGACTAAAACACTTGGTTAAGGTAAGGAAAGGTTTCTGGTGACAGTTAAAAAGAAGGCAAAAATTAATTACATTCTATGACAACCTCCAGTCTCCTGAATGAAGTCGGGCTCACTACACACCCAATCCAGCACCCCAACCAACACACCCTTACACTCCACCTTGCTACAAATAAAGCACACTTCTTGCACTGGCACTAAATGCTAGCATTTGAGCTAAATTGAGACAAATCATTCAATGTCTGTGAAGATTCTCAGTCATCCAGGTCATAGTTATCTAACGAAGGTTAAAGTCAAGGGCAACTGGACTTGGTTTAACATACTGGAAAACATGATCATAATTCCTACAGCACCGGGCTGGTACCAGACTTGGCCATGGGTAGTCCTAACGACCATAACGACTGTCGTTACAACAACCAGGAACACTAATGAACCAGCAGTTTTGACGATCCTGGCAAACAACCCCACTGAGGTTAAATAGCTGAGTTTCCCTGCCAGTCAGTCAGAACTGCAGAAGTCCCTTGGATGAGGGCCGAAACGTCTTCCAGTATCTTTAACCAAGGCCAGTTGCCCTTGACTTTAACCTTCGTTGGAAATCATTCAATATGAACAAACATGATCATAATTCCTACCACACTGGGCTGGTATGTTTTTAGTTGCATAATCTAAACTCTCCTGAGTTGCTAAAACAATACTGAGGACATAACCTCAATGTCCTCAATAAAATCGATGGCCCTGAATCCATGCCTTTACATGGTCTTATTCTACACTGTTTGGAGCTGAATATATTGTAGCCCAGGAGAAAGAGTTTCAATTGCAAATATCTCCCAAAAAATATAAAGAACGGGGAATCTCCCGTGGCTAAAGCCTAGTTCACACTACATGATTTTTAGCCCAATTTGCCGGTTGGCGGTCACCAGTGGTTATGTGTGAACTACACTACGACGCATCAAAATGGCTCCCTGACACATTTCTGACACATCGCCGACGTCTACCAGATATCTAGCATGCCAAATATCTGGAAGAGTCGGGCTGACTGGACATAAACATTCAGCCAATGAGAGCAGGCAACTGGCAGAGCAGGCAGCTACTTTTCACCGCAAAACGCAAAAAAGGAGTGGTCATAAAAGGGCTAAGGGAAACAGATTCACAGAGTACAGACGACCTGAGTTCTGAGCCAGGTCCTTTTCCTGTTCTGTCCGCAGTGGATTCATCTTCATCCAACTGACACCACATAGGAAAGACTAAGACTTCTCTGTTACATAAACAAGGGAAATGAACAGATTGACTTGAATCCTAATAACCTGATTTAGGGTATCATAATCCCCCGCGACCCTGTACACAGGATAAGCGGTTCACGATGGATGGATGGAGGGTATCATAATCACACTGAATGGATTACACAATGGTTTGACTGA